GTTGCCTAAAATGTTATAGTGTGACAGGACCTTAAGCTGCACATAGTCCTGTCATAAAACTATTTCAGATAACTGGAATGTACAGTAAGTGTGGTGAACCCAAATAAATGTAATAACTGCCTGCCATACAGTAAGCTTCTGCCTGTTAAACTGACCTGCTGCTGCTGTGCTCTCATCTTCTTTATCAGAGCAGAAGCTGACTGTTACATTAGCAAGATGGATTTAGGACTGAACGAACGTCCACATCTTTTTTTTTATCATCTCTGTGGGTAACAATTTATAAAAAACAAGTTTTTTCTCCGACAACTTGGGTATGAAAAAGCTACAGATGTTAAAGCTTTGCTCTGCTCGACGTGCAGCAGGAGGGAGGAAATTATCCCGCCACAAGACGGTACAACGTAACTTGTCTACAGCGGGAGGATTTATTCTCTCTAAACGTGTTTTAAAACACTATATTTCTTCATTTATTTTCAGAATATTTTGAACTCTTCTTTCTCAGTTGTCTCTGCACTCGCAGCTCTGCTGACACAGGTGCGATGACGTAACTGACGATAGGACGGTAGAGGGTAAATTTCTACCGTAGGCCAAATTCATATTGTTTCTACCATCTACRGCATATACCGCGCAGCCCCAATAAAAAGTTGTTGTGGATTGCTGCTTCTTGGTCGTTTTTTTAAGTTTATGGTGGGACTTCGGTAAGAAAGCATGTAATATATTAGTCATTTTAAACTGTTAATTTTAGTGTTTAATGTAGAACTGAAGCGATGTATTCTGGGTTACAGGACGGAGAATAGGAAACCATCTTCACTTCAAAATAAGAGCATGAATTTAAACTGTTACCTAGGTGTGTGTAGCTTTAATCCTACGTGAGACAGTGGGGTGGGTGGCTGAAGATGCAGCGGGCCATAAATTATAATTCCTCCCTCTACCCTCCCAAAGCTCATATAAGTATATAAACAGCAACAATAATGATGGCTGGATAGTGTGAGTTTTTTTTTCTTCACTCAACGATCAGTGTTGTGTGAGGACTCCGGGGAGGAAAAACGTTTTTTTCTGTTAATGTTGATGATCAGCTCACCAGCAGCTGTCCTAGCTCTTTTAACAACTGGCTTCAGACAAAAAAAAACAACTCTTTTTTGCAAAATAACCCGAAGAGCTGCTCTGGAACATCTCTTCAGTGCTTCTCATGAACAAACACACCCACGAAGTGTTCCACATTGTGTGTACATGATTATGGGCAGATGTCTAATGTGCTGTTGTGTTAAAAAAGCCGTTGTGGTTTTACGGTTTGGTCTTTTTAAATTATCATTTATTTATTTAACATTTAAAGCTGTGTTGTACCTCTGAGAGGAGGTAAAAACTGCACAGCTGAGCAGGTTCTGTGACTGCAGATCAGAACCGCAGCAGGTATGCAGGTGGAGAAGGACTTGGACTGGGAGTGTCACCCAGTGACAGTGRGTGTTTCCTGCCARGCAAAGAATTGTGGGAACTCTATTAAATGAAAARCGTCACCCAGAAGGACAGTCAGCGACAGTATGTAGCTCTGTGAATAAGCCCATATCTGAGGTGTTGTTGTTTCCGTACGATGGAGATCCATAGTGAATTTAGACAGCTATTACATTGTAGTGAGTTTAGACAGCTTTCTTTCTCCACTATAGAAAATATTGACAATAAAAACTCAATGAAATGAAAAGTTGAGTTTAGCGCTACTCAGTTTTTAAATTTAGAAAGCGCAAATCCACACATCATTTGAAGAATTTAGTTAGACCTCTAATGCGCAAACGAGAAATTTAAGGCCTTGTAAGACCCCTCCGTCAGGTGGTGGACCCACAGGAAGGAGAACACGTTCCTTATTTGGGCAGATCCCAACAAGGCCCTGTTGATAAAGACCAACAAGCCCTTCCTACAGGCCTCACACCAGGGTGGGGTCCGGTAACCCGCATCCGAGTGATTAACATTAAGTTCTGTTCTGTCTTTTGTTTATAAGATTATTGGGATTTTTATCCTGTTTTTTTTTTAATTGGTGAATGGCACTTTGGCCAATATTGTTTTTTAAGTGCTTTATAAATGAAGTTGTATTTTAATGTTTATTGTAGCTAATCAACTGGTGTGTTGCTAACTGAATTCTTCAAAAGTTAGATACTGTGGTTAAGAAGCTTTAAAACAGAGATAACTTGGATTATAAAGTTATACAAACTGTATATGAAATCTTACAATAAATGTGAATATCTGCAGGATGAAACAGCTGTTTAGATACGATTTTATGACCAGAGAGGAGCTGATGTCTGACCCCTGGAAGACAGTGATCCTGGAGGACTGTCTAGGAATGTATGACTGGTCTCTGGTGGCAAAGTATTTCCTGAACGTAGGGGTGAGTGTTGTCAATTTAATTTTTCAGAGTTAAGTGGGAAGTCTTAAAGTAGACATATCATGCTTTTAGATCATTCCTTTTCACATTTAAATATTTCAGTTGTGGACTTTATAAAGTGGAACTACAATGCTTTGGTCTGAATTCCTCCTTATTCTAATGTCACAAGKCCCTCTTTCAGCCCTTTTCTGATGTGTGTCACAAAGTAGGTGYTTTTGTTACTGTTCCTTTAAGACTCTTCAAGCCCCGCTCTGTCTGGCTTCCAGACTGGTCCACTCCCGTTTGAGAGAGGGGGGTTATGATTTGTAGCTTGCAGAAACGTTTTATTTACAATTTATTTAAAGAGGAACTTACCTCAAAATCAACTTTTTTGCAGATAAACTGTCTAAACTGTGCCTTAAGGGTAATACATTTCTATTTATTACTAAAAAATTAACATTTTGGTCTAAAACTGTTTAAATCTACAATATTGGAATGACTCTGGAAGTGATTCTTGATGGCTACTTAGGCCGTGTCCAAAATGACAGGCCGGGTCCTCCGGAGGACCCAGACTACCCAGTCGCGGCGGGCCGGGTCCTTGGTAGACCGGGAAGACCGGAAAAAAAGAGGCTGTGA